GAGCAGTGAGATACTTCCAGCGGATAAAATACAAAACTGGCGCACCGCAGGCACGCAGCAACTGACTGCCCTCTTGCTAACGGGGGACATTACAGCGCGATCGTCTCTCAATAACCGTAACCTGAAAAGCCAGTGTGTTGGTGAGCGTAAACTATGGTATTCTAAGTCGAGCTCAGGCTCTTCGTACCTGAGTTGTCCATCGGGTTCCCTGCCGGAACAGCAGGCTCTGGTTCCGGGATGGATACGACTACTGCGTCTGATGTGAGGAAGGTCCTTGCTACGGAGCCTGCGTGCTCTAAACAGCACCTGACTACCTACATGTGCCAAATTTGTGCGAGGATTACAACGTGAAATAATTCTTTTTAAGCATTGGGATTCCTTGGGAACGAAGCATACCTTGGTTGGATCAATGATTCCTGCCGCCATGAGATTCTCAAATGCACCAGTCGCAGCATTATAACCGTGGTTAAAGTTATCGTCGGCAAGGACCTGCACACACCGGCAGTCAAAACTCAAGCCAAGCCGCAGGTAGAAAGTCTTACTTTCTCAACGATAACGCTGCCGTTAACACCAGCATTTTTTGCGATGAGCTTCACGGGATAGCTCAAGGCTTTCCTCACAATTTCGGCTCCAATCTGAAACAGGTAATTGACTTTCAGAGGGAAAGCTTTCTGAAGTGGCCTCACCTTTTGCTCGTCATTCTCAAGGGTATCCTTGATGGCATCAACCTTGCTAGACAGTCTTAGAAGAGCAATTCCCCCACCGACAACGATGCCTTCTTCAACAGCAGCCTGCAATTTAAACACTTACACCACAATATTCCAGAATCCGATCTATTTACCTTCGTTGCATTCAAAGCATCTTCCACTCTTAACTTCTTTTCTTTTAGTTCTGTCTCAGTTTGTGCACCAACCTTCAATTTACAGAAAAGTTAACGATGTGCTGCTAAAAATACTGCAAAATAAACTTACCTGGATTACAGCAACTCCTCCAGACAATTTAGCTATTCTTTCGTTCAATTTTTCTCTTTCGTAGTCTTGCTCGGTGGCCTACAAGCAAAGGCCTTAAAACTTCAAAAAAAGTATCATAACGTATTATGTACCTCGAGCTGATTTTTTATTTGGTTGACACGCTTGCTGACGGCTTCCTGTGTGCTTCCATCTCCAACAATTGTTGAGTAGTCCTTTGTGATTACCACTTTTGAAGCAGTACCAAGAACTTCGGATCCCACTTTGTCCAGTTGCAGACCAACTTCATCCTTCACAACAGTGCCTGCTCAGAACAAAGAACTAAGTACGACAAATAAAAAATAAAAATGGTCGATTTACCTCCAGTAAGAGTAGCGATATCCTCCAAATACTGGCTCTTCCTCTCGCCGAATCCTGGAGCTTTGATAGCAGCAACTTTAAGATTTCCACGAATTCGGTTCACAACCAAAGTAGCAAGTGCCTCTTGTTCAATATCCTCCGCGATAATAAGAAGAGGACTTCCAGCACGAATGGCGTCTTCAAGGATGGATACTATATCTCGAGCATTTGTGATCTTCTTGTCAACTAGCAGTAACTGTAACGAACATTAATAAGGAAGAAACAAAAAGAACAGATTCCGTTTACCTTGCAATTCTGATATTCCACGGCCATTTTCTCCGTGTCTGTCACAAAGTAAGGTGATATGTATCCCCGATCGAACTGCATTCCTTCAACGAATTGTAGTGTACTCTCAGCACTTCTTCCCTCCTCAAGTGTGACCACGCCTTTCCTCCCAACTCTTTTCATAGCTTCAGCAATCATGTCCCCGATCTCGTAGTTGTTTCCCGCGCTCACAGCTGCTACATCTGCAAGTTCGCTGTCCTCGACCTACACGCAAAACGCTTAAGAAAAATATACAACCGAAGCCACGAGAACAAACCCACCTCTTTCGACAAAGTCTTGAGTTCCTTGACAAGGCCTGCGATGACCTTGTCAATACCTCGAGCAATTTGTATAGGATTAGCTCCCGCTGCGACTAGCTGCAAATTACCCTCCAGATTGCCTCATGAAACTTCCATGAACTTGAGAAAAAACAAACCTTGACACCCTCGTTTATAAGTCCTTGTGCCAAAACCACGGACGTGGTGGTTCCATCACCAGCCAAGTCATTTGTTTTTGACGCAGCTTGTCTTACAAGCCGCGCACCAATGTTCTCGACTGCATCTTCCAGCTCCACCTGCAAACAAAGAGCAAAAACACAAAAGACTTTGTAGCCGCATTTTATCTTTTCCTTCCTACCTCTTTGGCAACAGTGACTCCATCGTTGACAATCTTTGGAGATCCATACTTGCTCTCGAGCACCACGTTTCTTCCCTTGGGACCCAAAGTAACTCCCACTAAATCGGCCACTTTGTTCGCACCAGCCTATTATAAGGAGACTTAAATCCATCCAGCAATCCATAATCTCACCTGGAGCTTCTTCATGGCCGATCCATCCTTGTTGAAGAACAGCTGCTTCGCCGCTCGCGTCCTCACGACCGGCGCCCGGCAGCGAAGTCCGCCGCTCTTGCTGCGCTGCCGAAAATCCTGGAACGAAACCCGTCCAAAAGCTGTGGATTGCGCAAACGAGGACGAGAAGAGCGCCGTCGACGGCGAATTCAGCGAAGCAGCAGCCGCATGAGATGCCGCCATTGCTCGCTCTCTCGCGGACGAACGAAAGAAGAATGCCTATCTAGAACCTTCTGGGCTAGGGTTTTAGCAAGCTAGGCGATTCCTCCGCCGTCCATTCGCTTCGCAAGATCGTGCGGTGGAGATTTGATTTTACTATCTTCGTTTAAACACGAAGACTGCCCCTCTGGAGCCTCTTCCCAGCCTGATTTTCTCGTCCACGTAAAGAACAGCGATCTTAACTTTGCTGCTCTTGCCATACTGCGCTTCGATCGGACCAAGCTTTAGAAATGGAGGATCAAACGTTATCTCGATCCATTTCTCGTCCAGAGCTAGCAGCTTGCCTGAAAAGAACGAGTGGAAAGATCTAGCTTTGTTCTATGGCATGCAATAGGAAGCAGTACCTTTGAGAGAGACTTGGCCTTTGAGGATTCCAAGCAGAGAGAACGAGACTGAATTGCCCACAAAGTCGGGAGCTTTCACAGTCTGGATCATTGCTTCGGTTGCGAGGAAAAATCTTCCCAGCGCGCTGCGGTAGTAGCCTCCAGGGGCTGTTGGATTGGAGCAGTACTCCACATCCCAGTCTGCAAAATCGAAGAACATAGAGCATTTGTTCTTGGTTCTTTCAAGAGATATGAATTGGTACCTCCCAAGATCAAGGGACTTTGTAAAGGCTCTGGAGGAATGTTTAATCCTTCGAGCTTGCGGACAATCTCCGCAACGCTCTGGTGATGCTCACTACGCAATGCTGCTCCTCGATCCGAGCTTTGCACCTAAGAAAACTCTAAGCAAGAGAAGAGAAGAGATTATAAGAAAGAAAAACTCACAGACCATGGAGAGGAGCTGCTCTACCAATCCATTCGCCTCCTCCGCCCCTATCGCGACACCCCCGTCGGCAATCGCTCCGACACGCCGGGTACTTTGCAAGATTTCTTGACATTGGAAGCCACTGCTCCTCAAATTCGTGCTCCTGGACGAACTAGTGCTGCTGGAACTTAGCCGAGGCCTCCTGAATGCCACCAGACCATGGGACAATGCAGCAGTGCTGGGCGCCATGGAGGAGCAAGAATGCGGTCGATGGTGAAATCTCTGGAGCGAAAGCTCGATCGATCGTCCCAATGCCATGCCCTTCCCTCTCTCCCGGCAAGGTAAATTATCTTTTATCTTGTTAAAATAGTTACAAACGGAACTTTACAATAGCTCTGCCGTACATTGTCAATGGCGGTTACGGACAGAGTTTTACTCCGCGAGTGAGTGAGCGAGCGAGCAAGCCAAAACTTTTAGCGCTCCTCCTTGCTGTAAAAAATGCAAACACACAAACAAACCGGCCAGAGAAGGCGTTAAAATCAAAAACTGAGAAAGAGCATCACTTGAGCACGATATAGCTTGCTCCATCTCTTTTCTGGATGCGAGATATCTTTTTGAGCACCATGGCGAAGGCGTTCTTCTCCTGGAGAACAAGAAAAACAGGCAAAATCATCGAACTCCCGGGAGCAAAGATGAAGAACAGGATGTTACCTCTTTGTTCTTTAGCCTACTCCGGAACCTGGCCACGAGATCCTGGCTCTTCATCGGACCCGAGTCCTTGAGCACTGCTTTCACTTCTTCCTCGAGAGCTGAGCTAGCGGACGAAGTAGAAGCTCCCGCGGCTGGTTTTGCTGCTTCCTTCTTGGGAGCGTCTTTCTTTACTGTAGAGGGGCTTTCCTTCTTTACTGCTGGCACCTCCTTCTTCGGCTACAAAAGAGAAAACGAGGTAACGAGCTCATGAGTCTGGCGATGAGATCCGGTACCTCTGTCTTGGACTTTTTGGATGCTGCGGCAGTCTTTCCTTCATCCACCTTTCGCTTGTTCTTTGAAGCAGCAGAAGGGCCTCCAGGAGGACGCGCGTTAGCAGACTTCGTTGGAGTAGCGTCGCCCGCTTCGTCCTTGTGCTTCGGAGCCAGGACTGGAGAGCTGATGTTCTCGTTGTCCAGATCCATCTGCAAAGAAAGAACTGTCAAAGAAGCGCTGAAAACGTTCGCGAGAGCTTACATCCTCGTCCTCCTCATCGTCGTCGTCCTCCGATTCTTCAAGGCCCCCCGACTTCCCAAGCAGCTTCTTCATGTCACGTCCAGACTGACTCAGGGCGTTTTCACCCTGTTGAGGCTGTCCTCCTTCCTCAGCTTCTATCTCATCCTCTTCCTGGTAAAATCGAGACAGATATCAAACCACCACAAGAAAGCAGGAGACCGTTCTTGCCTGTTTGATTTCCGGTGGAGCAGGAACATCTGGTTGCTCATCTCTCTCCTCGGGGTCATTACCAACGGCTTCGTCATCATCCGTGAAAGTTTCTTCGTGCTCCCAGTCGTCACCTGAGATACTTCTATAAAAACCGAGAGCCTGGAAAACTCAAATGCCATACCTCTGTCAACTTCGTCTTCCGGATCAAAATCTTCGGGCTTGGCGAGATCATCGTCCTCGGCAACTTTAGCTCCTTTCTTCTTATCGTCATCATCTTCCTTCCGCTGCCTTCCAGTCTTTTCAACTTCGCCAAACGCCGCCGCGCCATTTGCCGCCTTCATGATCCACCTCTGATATCCGTCCGCGGTCTTGCGACGGTTCTTCATCTGCTCCTCGGCTTCCTCGAGCGTAAGTTGTTTGTACTGGACGAGTTTGTGAAAATTAAACCTGGCCGAGCCTGTGAGCAAAGGAACTAAATCTCTCAGAGCTTACCATGAACCCGCTGGGAACGCATGAAAGTCCCTCCCACTCTTCATGAGAATGTAGTAGGTCGCTTGTTGGCCGCCTTCAAGCTGGCCCTGGAATTGGTACGCACCAGTGTCGTCCTCCAAAATCCATGGCTTGGACTTGAGCTTCTCAGCAGTGATCTTAAACTTCTCCTGGAAAGATGAAGCTAAGAAGCTATACGTATGAAAGTGGAGGATTTCACATACTCTGGCTGGGTCAGTCGGCCTGGGAATATCCTTCCTCATGGTCCAGTGGAGGTTATTCTTCGTCGAGAAGAGTGGCAAGCCCTGGGAAAATCGCCCTAGAAAGCACTGCTTTGGGTTGGGCGCTCGCTTCACCTTGTACTCCTACAGACCCCGATCGATTGCTATTCTAGAAATCTAGAGGCAATGGCTACCTTGATCAGTGTAATGACGGTAGCACCGCACAGGCCGCACGACGCTTTCGCCTCGGCCATGGATTTCCCGCAAGCCATACATAGGGTCATATGCCGGCACGACGCCGCGAAGAGCTCATTGGAAGCGCCGGGAGCTCCACATCTCTCACAGTTCGATCGCAGGACGAGATCGCCACTCGAGGCGGCAGCGCCAGGGACAGCGTGCATCATCGTCGCGAGGAAAATCAAAATGCCCTAGCTACTTTAAATTAGGGTTCTTCGTGGGGGGTTTAGGGTTCTAGGAAATAGGCGAAATGCTAACGGGCGCGGTGCGCTGGAGCAAGAAACGCCTGGATCTCCAGGCCGTGATGGCGGCGCTGGATGAGGGCACCAAGCGAGGAGCATCGATCGACGAGGCAATGGCGAGCTTTAACGCCGCATTCTTGGAGCCGCGCCTTGTAGGTAGTGTGATCCGGCGAGTCCCCAGCTTAGCACTAGCGAGGAAGTTCTTCGATTGGTCTAGCAAGCAAGAGGGATACAGGCACGACGTCTACTGCTACACGAGACTGCTCCATCACCTCGTTCGAGCTCGCCGGACGAGAGAAGCGGTGAGATTCTTCAAGCGCGAGCTGTGTGCTCACTGCCGCCCAAGCCTCTACAGCTTCACGATCATCATCCAGTGCTTTTGCAACGTCAGGAATCCGGGGAGAGCTTGGAGATACCTCGGCTACATGAGATCGCTGGGAATTCCACCGGATGTCACTGCTTACAACGTTGTTCTCAAAGGCTACTGTGATCTCGGTAGAGTCGGGAGAGCGCTGATCAAGTTTGGAAAGATGGGCAAGACCTGCAAGCCCAACGTCGCGACTTACAACACCGTGATCAATGGCCTTTGCAAGTTTGGGAAGATCGACTGGGCCGTGTTCTTGTTCGAGAGGATGACCGGAGTGGAAGGATTGAGTTACTCCTACGAAGGTGACAAGACGATCATGAAATACAGGCATCTCTTCACCAGGCTTCCTCACGACTTGGTCGATCCGGATGGCTTCACTTACAGCACTTTGGTACACGGGCTATGCCAGGCCGAGAGACTGGAGGCCGCGATCAAAGTTTACGACATGATGCTGGAAGCCAACTACGATGGCGATGCTGGTGCTTACAACGCCATGGCCGATGGGTTTTGCAAGGAAAGGAGGGTGGACGAAGCTTTAGAGGTTTTGAAGACGATGATCCAGAGAGGCTGCAAGCCGAGCGTGGTGACATACAACTGCATCATCAATGGTGTGTGCCAGTACAAGAACAGGATCGAGGAAGCTTATCGACTGTTTCAGCAGATGGTTGGAAGTGATTGTCCTCCGAATGCGGTCACTTACGGCACTATGATTCTCGGGCTCAGCAAGATTTACGAGGTCCAGCGCTGCTTGGAGCTTTTCAAAGGTATGAGCAAGGCTGGCTTGAGTCCCGACGGCTACGCCTATCACTCACTTATCTACGCGTTTGTCAAGGTACGCAAGCTCGACGAGGCAAAGTCGATCTTACAGGACGCCGCGAGAAACCATGTTGGTCCGGACGTCTACATGTACACGACGCTCATCAGCGGCTACTGCCGAGCTCGAAAGCCGAGGGTTGACGAGGCTTTGCTTCTCTTTCAAAACATGAAGGACAGGAGGGTGTGGCCAAACGTGATCACGTACAACATCGTGCTGCGAGGCCTTTGCAAGACTGGTCGATTCGACGAGGCTTACCAGATTTTCCAGGAGATGTTCAAAGTGAAATGCAGCCCGAACCGGATGACTTTCAAAGTCATGACCATGGGAATGATTCACTGCGGGAAAACGGACAAGTTTGAGAGGATTTTTATGGATATGGTGTACAAAGGACGGTGGCAAGGGGAGGGCCCGATACTAGAACAACACGGGTTGATCGGTGTCACGGACGAGGCGAGGAGGTAAGATCATTCTCCATCGAGTTTTTAGAAGTTAACACTTTGTAAATTCGCTCTTGTGTTTTTGCAGGGAATTTTTCATAAAGGCTGCTGCTTCCAGGGAACCTGGAAATCCTGTCGAGGCTATTCTCAAGGGCCAATACTACTAGTTTTCCACAACACGGACAAGTTCTTCAGGTTCGTTCTGTACAACCGTTTTATTTTTCTTACTTTTTCTATTCTTTGCCTTTTCAGCATTTCAATTTTACCAAGTTCGACTAGCGAATGAGAACCAAATCTCCCGTCGTCGACTTTTAGAACTCTCGCTGGAGTTGGTCCAGGACTGATTCAAACCAACTGAAGTTTCAGCCGAATTTACATGACGTGGAGCTTATGTGTCGAGCATCTTCGCCACGTCATTGCAGCTTCGAACTGTGACTAGGTATGGCTGGAGCTGGGCTTGGCATCGCATTTGGAGGCAGCTCTTTCTTTGTTCGAGAACAGCCGGTCTTCAGGTGAGGAAGAGCATCTTTTCTCTCGTTTTGATTGTGGACTCTTCTGTGATAGAATTATGGCGACTTCCATGAAATCGGCACCTCTACAAATTCCATCCAAGAAAGTTGTGGTAAGCTCCTTCCTCGTGGGTTTTATCCAATTGGATGAATTTTTGCTTTTCTAGCTGGGATGTGGAACGGTGGTGATCGACTATCTAGCTAGCGTGTCCGCTTTCCCTCAACCCGATGACAAGATACGATCTATCGATTTCCAGGTGCTGCATTTTAGTTCTTTTTTTTCATCTTCTAAGCTTTCCATTTGCAGTTTCAAGGCGGTGGAAACGTAGGGAACTCCTTGACTGGTGCCGCAAGGCTAGGATTGAAACCAGTGCTCATCTCTAAAGTACTCTCACTGTCCTTTTACAATCCTATTTTCTTAAGTGAAGCGGTGGTTTTGCCAGGTTGCAGATGATGCATTGGGCCTCAGAATTTTAGAAGAGCTGAAGAAAGACGGAGTTGATACTTCTCATGTTGTGGTCTGTATGCTGCGTTGCATACACTATGTTCAATTTTCGGTCAGTGCAGGTGGCTAAGGGGGGTGTCTCACCATTCACTTACATCATCATCGACAAAGAGAGGTAACACTTTCAGCACCTTTTGTTTCAGTTTGATTGACTTTAAAGATACATGGCAGGTTAACAAGGACGTGCATCCATACTCCTGGACATCCTCCTATGTTGCCGACAGAGATAGACACGGCCACACTTTCCAGCGTCTTGCAGGGAACAGATCTTGTGTTTTTTGACTGTCGACTCACCGACACAGCCGTTAAAATTGCGAAGATGGTACGCGCTTTGAAAAGAAGATGTCATGCGTCAAGCTAATGGGACCCCTTTTGCAGGCTGCGGAGCTAAAACTTCCCATTCTCGTGGACGCTGAAAAGAAGAGAGAATTTTTGGATGAGCTACTTGTCTACTGCGACTACATGGTTGCTTCATCACGGTTTCCGGAGGTTCGTCTTGAATTCTCGCTATCCTCTAAACTGGTGCACTCACGTCGTTGGTCAGGCATGGACGAACTCGAAAAACCTTGCTGAAGCACTACTTTGTGTAGCCTCAAAACTGCCAAAGTTGAAGTTTATAATTGTCACACTCGGGGCAGAGGGTTGCGTTATGCTTGAAAGAAGTACAACTAGTAAGTTCTGGCTACTGTTTTCCATAGTTACCGTTTCGTTCTTTATTTTCAGCTGACCATGGAGAGACCATGGATGTCAATCAGACTCTCGACTCCTTACGGCAACAAGTATCCGCAGTCAAGAGTCCTCAACCTCGCGTCGTATCGTCCAAGGTCTGGAAGAACTTCGTGTGGTTTTACTATATCTAATAGTTCGTGTATACTTGATTTATACAGATGGGACGGCTTGTACCTTCAACTGGCTCAAGAATTGCGATTTTTGGAAGACTGATTGTTGGAACAGCTCAGGAGGTACCCGCGGCTCAACTGGCGGACACAACTGGAGCTGGCGATGCATTTGTTGGAGCTGTCATGTACTGTAAGTACGTTTTGCTCTCCTTGTTTTGTGTCATTATAAGACGCGGCAAGGCTTGCTTGCAGCTCTATGCGCGGGATTCACTGCGGAACGGATGCTTCCTTTTGCAGCGACAGTGGTAATTGCTCTCAAGCTCTTGGTCGTGAATTATATGTTATACTTCGATCTTCTTCTTGCATATAAATTCGTCATGAAGCCTCTTTTCTCTCAGTGATCTTGCATTTCTAAAGCTCTTGTTCTTCGTTCTTATGTTCTTCCGTAAAGTTCATGTCTTTTCAAGTTCGCACAGACTGTTATCTTCTCAAATTCTCGAGCTAAAGTTTGGATTTCGTGTGATTCATTTTAGGCCGCTGCGAATTGCCAGGCTGTTGGAGCTCGTGCCGGTCTGCCAAGGCGAGACGATGCAAGGATCCTCCACATGCTACTCTGACAGGAGGTCGGGCGTTCGAATCCTGGGGCAGGCATCACAAAGATTTTAGAGTTACGCTTTGTTTTATTTTGTTGAGGCTAGGGTTTTTGCGATCTTTGTGGCAGCGTCTCCAATGATCAAGGTAGCCGTGATGCTCGCGTAGGGCCTATTCTACAGCGCCAGAGTAGTCTAGGGTTCTTGACGCAGCCATGGCGAATCTCACCGTCGGCTTGATTCTTGAGAAGGTGAGCTGTGTGGTTTGTCGGGGCTGGATTTCTCACGAATTTCTCGTGTAGATTGCGTCCAAGGACAAGGATTATCGGTATATGGCCACCTCCGATCTTCTCAATGAGCTCCAGAAGGAGTCTTTTAAGGCCGACTCCGAGACCGAGAGGAAGGTGTCGCAGATTGTCCTCCAGCAGCTGGATGATGCCTCCGGGGACATTTCTGGAATCGCTGTGAAGTGGTGCGTATATTTCTTGCGCTTCGTTTCGTTTCTAAGTTTTAGTTTGATGGTTTTTTTTTTCTTCTTCTTCTTTTTTCTTCAGCTTGGGTCCTCTAGTGAAGAAGGTGAATGAGAACAAAATTGTGGAGATTGTAGAGTCGCTTTGCACGAGGCTACTCACAGGAAAAGACCATCAGCGCGACATTGCCAGCATTGCTCTCAAGACTGTGGTGTCTGAGATCGCCAGTGGAACTGTTGCGCAGTGTGTCGTGGCTGCGTTGACACCGAAGCTGATCAAAGGCATCACTGCAACGGTGAGCTTACGCAATGTAGATCAGAAGATGGTTCGCCTGAGTTTTTTATTTCTAATTTTTTATTTTTTCAGGACACGAGTACAGAGGTGAAGAGTGAATGCTTGGACATTCTTTGTGATGTTCTTCACCGGTTTGGGGCACTTCTAGTCCCAGAACACGAAAAGTTACTCAACGCCTTACTTGTGCAACTTAATTTGCAACGAGCTGGTCTGAGAAAACGTGCAATTCAGTGTTTAGGTACGAAGCTGTTTTTCCACAATTGTACAGCAACTTATCTTTCCTCGCGTAGCGACTTTGGCTGCTTGTATGTCCGATGATCTGTTGGGAAGGGCAACCGTCAGCGTGGTTGACTTGTTGAAGAATAAGGATGTGAAGCCCGACATGACTAGGACGAACATCCAAATGATCTGCGCCTTCTGGTATGACTGAGAAAATGTTTCAAGTATACTTTATTTTCCTTTACTGTACTTTTGTTTGTAGCCGTGCCGTGGGTTATCGTTTTGGGCCACATTTAAATGAAGTAGTTCCACTTCTAATAAGTTACTGTCAGAACGCCTCAGAAAATGACGATGAGCTTCGAGAAAACAGTCTGCAGGTTTGTGAAGTTTTTAAATTAGTCTTGCAAGGATTATCTGTTTGCACAGGCGCTGGAAAGTTTCGTGTTGCGCTGTCCACGAGATGTGGCAGAACATTGTGGCACCATTCTTGATCTCGCTCTGGAGTACCTGAGTTATGATCCCAATTTCACCGATGATATGGAGGAAGATCAGGATGAAGACATGGATGGCGAAGAAGAGGACGATGAGTAGGTTTTTATTACGTTTCCCCATCCTGCTAAAGTATTAAGAGCTATGTCTCAGGGAGAGCGCTGACGAGTACAGTGACGATGAAGATGTAAGCTGGAAGGTGCGGAGAGCTGCAGCAAAATGCCTTTCTGCAGTTATCTCATCGAGACCGGAGATGCTTTCGACACTTTACAGCAAGGTCCGTAAGTCTGCTCTCAAATGTTTCATACTCATCGATTTTTTTCAGGCATGCCCAAGGCTTATTGATAGATTTCGCGAAAGAGAAGAAAATGTGAAGGTAGCAACGTCACATTTGTTCTTGTTGAAGATCTCACTCTGAATAACAGATTGACGTGTTCAATGCATTCATTGATCTCTTGCGTCAAACTGGCAACGTGACAAAAGCGTCGTCTGAGATTAATCCATCAAGGTTTGTTCAATATGATTTTGAGTTGTTTAAATAACTTCAGTATGCAGTCCTTTATATATGCTTCAACAAGAAGTTCCAAAGGTTGTCAGAACTTTAAATCGTCAACTTCGTGAAAAATCGGTGAAAACAAGGGTATGGATGATTACTAGATCGATTCGTGGTTCTAAATTAGCTTTACGAAGGTGGGGGCATTTTCTGTGCTAAAAGAACTTGTGGTCGTTCTTCCCAATTGCTTATCGGACCACATGGCCTCGTTGCTGCCTGGAGTGGAGAAAGCTTTAAATGTCAGTACAGTTAATTGGCCTTTTGGATTTGAATCTAATTTTTTGGTCCCGCAGGATAAATCCTCCAACTCTAATCTGAAGATTGAGGCTTTGACATTTACACGATTGGTCATGCCGTCTCATTCTCCTTCAGTTTTCCATCCACACATTCAGGTTTGGTTCGCGTTGACGATTGTCATTTAATTTTTACCAGTTGTTGCAGGCTCTCTCCGGTCCAGTTCTTGCTGCTGTCAATGAGCGTTATTATAAAGTTACTGCTGAAGCCTTACGTGTTTGTGGAGAGCTTGTGAAAGCCATTCGCCCTGATCAAGGTTCGACCTTCAACTTTGTACCGTATGTTCAACCTATTTACGGTGCAATATTGAAGCGTCTGACCGCTCAAGATCAAGATCAGGTATTTACAAATGGACTTCCATTGATCTGAGCAAGACACTGCAGGAAGTTAAAGAATGCGCCATATTTTGTATGGGGCTGGTTGTTTCTATCCTTGGAGACAAGCTTGAGCGGGAACTCCCTGTTTCTTTGTCATTGCTTCTCGATCGCCTACGGAATGAGATCACACGGCTGACAGCTGTCAAGGTAAATTTTGCTTTATTCGCTGCCGGCCGTCAATAGTTCCTATTGTGAAGGCATTTGCAACGATCGCGGAATCTCCGTTAAAGATCAACCTTAATGCCGTACTTGAACAAGTGATTGCGGAGCTAACGACGTTCTTGCGAAAGGTAACTTCACATGCACCGAACTGTACCGCGGTACTTACCATACTTTTCTCGGCAGGCAAATAGAGCTTTGCGGCAAGCGTCTCTTGGTACTTTAAATGCTTTATTAGTTTCTTATGGTGATAAAATTGGTAATGCAAGCTACGATTCCATCATCACAGAGTTATCTGCGTTGATCAGGTCTATCTCGATTATTCTGTCTGAAACATGTGAATCTTTCTCTATTTTTTTCAGTGATGCGGACTTGCATATGGCAGCATTAGCTCTTGAGTTGTGTTGTACAATGATGGCTGATAAGAAGCATCATATTAGCGCTGGCAATGCTGTTCGCGAAAAAGTTCTGCCACAAGCTCTTGTTCTCGTAAGAAGTTCATTGCTTCAAGGACAAGCTTTACAGGTATTGAAGAATTCTTTTACTGTGTTTCCTAACCCACTTTTATGTCAGACTTTGCAAACATTTTTTGCATCACTGGTTCAATCGGCTAGCACCTTTGACATGCTACTTGAGGCTCTGCTTTCATCCGCCAAAAATTCGTCGTCCATGGGGGGGCCTGCCAGCAAGCAAGCGTTTCATTCTGTAGCACAGTGTGCAGCGGTGTTGTGCCTTGCTGCTGGAGATGCCAAGTGTCTATCAACAGTCGCAATGCTTGTGAACGGTCTCAAAACTGGCGGTCATGATGCGGTAAGAACTTTTGCTCTTTCTGTTTAATCTTTAACCGAAACTTTTATAGCATCAGCTGCTGTCACTCTTGTGTCTGGGAGAAATCGGCAGAAGGAAAGACTTAAGCTCCGTTCCCGATATAGAATCGGTTATTATCAGATCGTTCCAATCTCCTTCTGAAGAAATCAAGTCTGCTGCATCGTATGCACTGGGAAACGTAGCGGTCGGTAATTTATCGAAGTATTTACCTTTTATTCTAGGCCAGATAGATAGACAATCGAAATTGCAATATCTGCTTCTTCATTCATTGAAAGAGGTAGGTTCTTGTTTTTTCTTTTAACTTCTCGGTTTTTAATTTCAGTCTTGTTCAGGTTATAGCACGACAATCGTCTGATGAAGCTGGAAAAATTGAGCTGCAAGACGCGGACGTCCAAAAGATACTTTCTTTATTGTTCAATTATTGTGAAAGTGAGGAAGAAGGCGTCCGAAACGTTGTTGCAGAATGTCTTGGCAAGCTAGCACTTATTGAACCAGAAAGGCTCGTTCCTGCACTGAAGGTAAGCTCGATTGCTGAAATTCAAATCTAAGTTTCTTTTGCAGGCTCGGACATCCAGTACCTCTGCGTTTACAAGAGCAACAGTTGTTATCGCGATCAAATATACTATAGTTGAACGGCCTCAACCGATAGATGGGCATATCAAGCTTTGCATCTCTTCTTTTCTTATGCTTATCAAAGACGGAGATAGAGTAAGTGCTTACGTTTTTAGCCGGCTATTATAATCATTTTTGTTTCTGCTCGAATGCAGCATGTGAGACGGGCTGCAGTTTCGGCTTTGAGCACTGCTGGGCACAACAAACCGAGCCTTGTGAAGGAACTGCTACCTGTGCTCTTTCCGCTTCTGTATGAACAGACAGTTGTAAAGGTACGATCTTTTCATTGGAGTCAGCATGTTATGTTTTTTAATCTCGTTTTGTAGAAAGAGCTTATAAGAACAGTGGATCTAGGTCCTTTCAAGCATACTGTGGACGACGGTCTGGAATTGAGGAAGGGTGCATTCGAGTGCGTTGACACTTTGCTGGACAGTTGCCTTGACCAAATTGACCCTTCGGCTTTCCTGACTTACTTGTTATCGGGCCTCAGTGGTACGTTCACAAGAGCTAGTTAAAGGCTCGTAACGCTCTTTCGGATTTGCAGATCACTACGACGTGAAAATGCCCTGTCACCTTATACTCTCGAAGTTGGCCGAAAAATGCCCATCCGCAGTAATAGCAGGTAAATTTGTTGGCGTAATCACAGGAACGAGTTTATTTCCTTCTTTATTTTTGTCTTGCAGTTCTGGACGTCCTAGTTGAGCCACTAGAGAAGACGGTTACCAACAAAACAAAACCGGATGCTGTCAAACAAGAGGTGGATCGAAACGAAGACATGATCCGGAGTGCACTTCGTGCCATTGATTCTCTGGACAGAATAAGGTACATATTCTTTGGTTCGCTTCTGGATTCTGATGGTCTTGATTTTCCAGCGGAGAGTCCAGTCCGAGATTTAGAGCTTTCATCAACAATGTGGTGAAGAGTGGAACGCTGGCTGAAAAGTACAACGCCGTCCGCCACGAGAGTGATACTGTTGTTGCTGGGGACGTGATGGACATGAGCTAAGAGGTCATTCCCTTGATTTACGAGTTTGTGTTTGTTTGCTGCTTCAATTTTGGAGTGCGATCCCGTTTAGCAGAACTATTTTTCCATGCGGTACACACATCGGCTTTCTATCTAGCCATGTAATCACAGTGCAGAGAAAAACATTGCTAGTTCGCCTGTAAGTCTCCAATTTGTCGCCATGCTCTTTGTTTTCTTGCTATCGTTTTTAACACGTGGTTTCACATGGAGAGTAGCATAACTCGCCGTGTCCCATGGACGTTCTCTGCTGTTTTATGCAGTGTATAAGCGGCACGAGAAAATCCATCTTCGTGCCGATAGACAGGAGCGATGGACTTGGATTGGTACTCGCACAGCAGCTCAACATTGACGTCTTTCTTCGGGATGGTTCGTTTTCTCTTTAATTGGTCTTGATAGCATCTCACCATTTTGTTTTGCAGGTGACGCTTGGACTCAGACGCTTGAGGAGATGGTCCGTGGTTTACAGATGGAACCAAAGATCTGTGTGGCGCTCTGGTGAATGGAGATGGAGATATGGTAGCAAGCCGGCTGAAAAGCAGCAGGTACCCTGTTTCGCTTGTGTTTTTCATTGAGATCTTTGAGGATTTGGGAAGGCACTCTTGTTGTACAAAGTTCTGACTTTTAAGGTTCTGTGAACTGGGAGGAAGCGAATTGCCCCCTTTTACTCACTGTTCAGTAACTTCTCCAGGTATTTGTGTAGCAGGTTCTGATCAGATTTGTTTTGAGCGAGTAGATCAATCTACGCTGGAGCTGTTAGTGCACTGGCAACTTGAAAATCCAGTGCTGTCCGGTTGATCTTTTCAACGATGCGAACAGTGCATCCGTGCTCGTCAACTCTGGTCCATCCATCCCGAGAGACGTCACCCGTTGCCTCGACAGTTATGGCCACTTCTTTCGACACAACACCCAGAGCTGTGGAGTTCACAGCGACTGCAGCCGCCATTACTTCACCCAGAGGATTGGCCTGGACAACGCAAGAACAGATTCAGGGAAGAAAAGATAGAACAGATGGGACGTACTGCATGGACGTAGGCCGGGTTCTTCGTCTTGAGCTCATGGACAGTGCGTAGCAGCTTGTGGACTAGACAGGACTCGGGTGTCCGGTGCCGGTGCCGGGATCTCAGATGGTTAAGGAAGGCCTTCTCGGGGGATACTTTCTCCGTCACATCCAGGGGCAGCAGCGTCACTCTCAGACCGGAACAAAGAACTATCTCGGCTGCGAGCGGGTCCAGGAACATGTTAAACTCGGCTTTGGAGTTCTCCTCCACGGTGAAAACGTTGCCGGGGCGCGAGATGGATCCGCCCAGCACGTAGACTTCCTGGTAAAAGCCTGTGAATGCGAGATCAAAGGGAAAGAAGCCTTGGACGTCACCTCGATGAGATCTTTGAGAGCCTGGTTCCTCGTCGCGGTAAGAAACTCCGCCAGGTTTGTAACAGGGCCCCCGGCGACGACCGTGAGCTTTGCGGATCCGCCCAGGCCGCGCAACGCGTCGGTGATCACCTCGGTTGAAGTTTGGAGCTGTGATCTCCCAGAGTACCTGAACAGTAGAAGATGAGGAAGAAAAGGAGAAAGGTTTGGATAACTTTGGGACCTTCGAGGACTACGAGGAAGGCTTCGTGCAAGGCCGTAGAGGGTGTCCGAGTCGAGCAAGCCGCTAGTGCCTTGAGGGACCGCTCGCCTGTACTTACAGTCTCCAGTGGCGTTGGAGTAAGCTTGGCCGCGAGCAAAGAGAGCTCCCAGCCCCACACTCACATCGTCCCTTCCCATCATGTCCAGCACATCATACACCGTATCGATCGAGGCCGCGTTTGCAAAGCCATTGCCGGACACTGTGATTGCCTGTTTCATCAAACTTTGCCACTTTAGCTCCTTTCTCTTTCTTTCTCTTTTCTCTTTTTCTTTTTGCCTTCTTTGGTATCGCAATCACCTTGAGTTCAACGATTGTCCTTGGTACCTTGAGGAGATAGACGAGCGTGAGAATATCTCCGGGGCTCATGTCCATGTCGAATAACAAAGCCTTGCCTTTGCCAAGTCTCTTGGGCCCGCTCGAGTTGACCCTATACTGGTTTTCTCGGATGGACGGCGTCTGCCTTTGGAAGGTGAATCGAGCAGACTGGTGTGGAGAGTTTAGTGCCTATACGAAAAAGAAAGAGAAAAGCGCTTAGAGGATAGACCTTAAAGATGCTTACGTTGATGAAGCTCGAGTAGAATTCTTTGTCGAGCACCTTGCTCGTGTGAGTCCTCTCATCGTTCTCGTAAGAAAGTTTTGCTCGTCCCACTACCTGGACCAAGACCCCACCACCACTTTTACAGTTCTTTGTTATCACCGTCCTTCCATCCTAGAAAACCAATGTGAAAGGAGGATTGCATGTAACTAAGTACCTTGCAAATGCCTTCGCCCCGAGGAACATAGCAGAATGGATCTCTCAAGCCCGTCTGGACGTGGCCGCTGTGGACGCCACCCTTCTCGAGCCCAAACTTCCGCCACCTTTTGGTTTCAAAGAGAGGATTGGAGCCATCCCGGACGCCGTAAGGCTCGTTGGACGTGACAATAGTTACGAGTGCTGGATCTATGGTTCCAAACTCGTTTTTCGAAGCATCGTGCCCATTGAGCATCCCCGATATTGCAATGGCTGATGTGAATGAATCCCAAAGATAGAAATACTGCCATAAACATCACATTACTATCCCTGCAAATATGCACACAACGTTTTACCTGAGAAAAGGCATCAGGCCAGATATGCTTGAGCATGCTGAGCATATGATATGTATAGTTTGCCTCGAGGCTGTTCATGCTTCTTTCCAGAGCCGTGATAAGTTCCTGAGTGACTGGAACAGTATCCGTTGCTTCCAAGGGGACCAAAGTTATAGCCAGCCCAGAGTGAAAAACCTGAAAGCTCCACCATATACTAAGAATACAGATGAAAGTCCCTACATAATCTTGGACCTGATAAGAAGCAAATGGGTCTGCGAAGATGTTAAACTCGGCTCTTGGGTTGCTCTCAGTTCCAGTGAACAAATTGCCACTCTCCCCACCACCCATGATGTAGACATGCTGGATGTTCTTCTTGACCTCTGGGTGTGTCATGAGCAGCAGTGCAAAATTTGTGTGGGATCCTGTGAGCAGCACTGTGTTTGATCCTGTTGACAATGCCTCGAGCAGAACTTCCTGAGAGCTTCTTTGGTTCCCTGGGATGTAGTGTCTCTCCCCCTTGCACGAAGTGTTATTCTTTTCTCTAGTTCCACAAGAGAAAGAGGAAGAACTTAAGCATATTACCTGAGGTAAGAACTGGCTTCTGAGTCCATAATGCGTGTCCACATCAAGACTCCCCGCTCCTCTTCCTGGTGGAATGGCTTGCCTGTATCTACAACTCCCACAGGTGTAAAGCATCTGCCAAAGTATAAGCTGTAGTTTATACCAAAAAGAAGTGGAGGAAATGAAAAACTCAAGAAGAACTTTGTGTTTCTTCTGAAAGGAACAACCTTCCACTTTGTGGGTGCTCCATCCAAACAAAAGAAGTGGAAAGAAGGAGAGGGAGAGAGAAAGGAGAGCATGGAAGATTTGAGAGGAGACATTTTACCTGATCAATAATTGGCACATAGCCTCCAACATTTGGCTGGATTGTGCCATCTTGTGTGATGCCTCCCTCGCCTCCGACACCGATGGGGATGTCGTCCCGGCCCATGGTGAACAAGAGATCATATACCATGTTGACTCCAAAACCCGGATTTACCCATGCATTTGAGTCTAAGGTGATTGCCTGCAAGGCAGCAAAAGAACCACCTTCTTTATCAAAAGCATTGCAGGTTGCAAGAATGATATCAATGTGATACGCAAGACATGATGAAAGAAAACCGTGTGCAGAAAGACTTGCCTTGAGATTTATAAGAGATCTGTTTTGCTTGAGAATGTAGAGAATTGCCAAAACATCCTCCACGTCAAGGTCAGTGTCAAGGACCAAGTTCTTTGGAACAGCCGCAGCAGCATCTTTGCCTCTGGATTGATCATGAGCGAGAACTGGAGGCAATGGAAACAAGAGCAAGAGCACAGCGAGGAGAAGATGAACGGTTTGCACCATCGAGTAGCAGGAACTAAACCTTTCTAAACCTGAAGACCTGTTCTAAGAGCACAGCAGCAAAAACCAAACTTTCCTCTCTAGGAGGAGAGGATCCAGTCAATGCAGCTATAGTTTTGCTCTAGAGAGATTCCAGACCATGATCACAACGCTGTAGGAAAGCTGCAAAGAAAAACACACGGGGGAATTCAAATATCTTTGGGAGGAGCAGACGAAACGCCGGGAAATATCAGAGCTCGGAGAGGAGGCTGCCTTAAATATGGTGGTGGTGTTGGTGGTGAGATAATCGGTTGTCCGCGCTGCTGCCACTCAGGGGAGGCTCATGATCGTTGTTTGGCTGGTGTTTGCCCAATGAGATGAGAAAGGAAAGGAGGAGGAGCGGCACTTTGCTCCCACTGTTACTGCCTTTCTTCCCTTTGTGGCCGCCTGTGATAACAGGAATGGTGCCCATGTATTTATAAGGAGTGGGGGTAAGGAGAGAGTTCCAGTGGCATTTGCTTTCTAGATGGAGGACTAAAAGATAAATCAAATGGCTCTTGGGAATTTCGATTCACCAAGCTCGATCCCAAAAGGATGAAAAGAAAGGAGGAATGTCCTCCCTTGGAATGAACATTTTCGAAGACATTTCAATATTATACGCCACCTCTTGGAGCTCTTACCATCAAATCAAACTCCATCCCAAGTTCAAAGTTTTCTCGGTAAGCTGGTGAGCAACTTCGACGATTTCTTTGAATCTTTCAACTCAAAAGCGCGAGCTCAGAGGGCATGATGATGCAAGCAAGCAAGCTTTACTATATATTGCGTGCAAAATGATGTTGGCTTTCTCCTTTCAGATGTCTTGTGGCTCCGGCAGAATGAGAAATGAAGGTCACTGGAACACCTGGTGATTTCATGAATTGCCACCACCTTGTTCCTATGCTGCTCCTGTTCCTGCTTCTGTCGCTGCTGCTGGGCTTGGATTCTATATTATGAAGCAGAATATGTGCATATAAAGTAATGGCTGGGCATGCAAAACTGTATGCCAACCAGCTAAAACCTCTAATTCTTTATACCCATCAATGGAAGGAGGGGACCTCTCCCCTTCTCTACAGGAACTTACACTGGTTTGGCTTTTTAGGTGCATTGTATGCACAACTTTTCTTGTATCTTGCTGCTGATCTATTGCAAGCCCTGTAAGCAATGCGGGAAAAAGACCTGGAATCTACAAGATTAAACTAGCACGGCATGTATAAGTTGGTCGCTTGCGAGCCGCAATCTAGCAACAAATGGAATCATGGCCGCCATGATAATAACAATGCATTTTTCCTAACCTGGATATTTGTGCACTGTCCGTATGGAGCTCGCAAATCAGCTCCCTCGGTGCGTAAGAGCTTTACACTTGGAAGCTCACTATGTGGGCTTTTTCCGAGGTTAGTTTATCATCACCTCAATCTAAACTTTGTGGATTTGATGGTCGGGCTTTATCTTCTCCCCTGTACCAGATCATTGATCTAGCTCTCCTTCGGACAAAGCCACAATTTTAAAAATCAAGGTCAGCGAGGAGTCAAAGTCGTTTCTAAAGTTTGTCTCTGGCAAATGCCTTGCAATCCAAATGAGTATAAAGGAGGCTCCGGTTTTTTTCAGTTTTTGTGCGAGTCGTTTCTTTGCAAAGGTAAGGCGTGCTTTGTTGTTGCACCACTCCCACGAGTCTAATCGGTACCACTTCCATTTTGGCCGTGGTACAACTTGAGAGTGCTGGCCAGCCTTTCAATCTACTGCCATTGTCTACCAAAGTATAAATGCTGACTTTGGATCGGAAATGACGTAAAGTTTGATCATCACATCCACGAAAACTGGTTTGTGTGTGTTTGTGAAATTCCAAGAGTTTTGAACTCAAAAGAATTGTCTTTGAATCTTGCAAGGAAGAATAAAAAACTTCATTGTCGTGTGAGTTTTCACTTTCCAGATGTAACTTTTCTTGATTTAGAAGAAGATCTGAGTTGTCCAAGGCTGGGCTTTTCTTTTCTTTTCCACATTATCGAGAAATCCTTGCACCCCTTTGAGGAAACACCGTGGCAAACCAATGCCTCAAGTCCACTGCCACTTCCAAAGACTCCATAAACCAATGCCCCAAGTCTACTGCCACTTCCAAAGACTCCATCGTGGAGGGATACGCATCGCGATCGAGGCAATGCGTGACGCGAGAGACGTGATTTTAGGTGTGTTTAAAAATGAGAGGGAGGAGGATCCACCTCGGCTCGCAAGGCGATCCATCCACCATCAACACGTACCTCACCAACCGTCTCGTCCAAATGTATGTCCACGCCAAGAACGTCTTCTAGTGGAATGTGATGATCCATGGCAGCGTGGAAAACGGCGACATCCGGCAGGCCAGGGCACTGTTCGAGGCAATGGATCGCAGGAACGTCATGTCGTGGACGACGATGGTGAGCGCTTATGCCCGAAAGGAGGGCGATCCCCTCCTCGCGCGATTGTTCTTGGAGAGAATGCCGCAGTGGAGTGTTGTGCCGTGGAACGCCATGCGCAGATCGCTCGTCCACGACGTCGAGTTGGGCCTCGCTCGCAGGTTCTTTGAGATCGCGCCCGAGAGAGACGTGATCGCCTGAAACACGATGATTACGGCCTACTCCCATGAGCGGGAGCTTTAGATCCCGAGCTTTCTCTTTGACAGGATGCCGCAGAGAGATTTGGTGTCGTCAATTACTGCGGCTTACGCATATCTTGGAAGATTAGTTGATGCGAAGAAAATCTTCCATTCAACGCCGCAACAGTATGTTTTATCGTGGAACACAATAGTCACAGCATTTGCCTTAAACAGGTATCTAGATTATGCAAGCTTTACTTTCATCATATGCCACATCGCTATGTAATCTCTTGGAACGCAATCTTCGGTGCCTTTGCTAGCGCTGGCTTTGTTGATGTTGCGGAGAACATCTTCCAGTCCATGGACTAGAGAGAATCCGTGTCGTCGAACTCTCTGATACCAGGGAGACGTTTCGTGCGATGGTTTTGAATGGTTTCTTTCCGGACAGTCTCGCAATCCCCTCGGCTTGCACCCTCGATGGAAGGCTTCAAGACTCGTGGAACTGTTACGCATATGCAACGCAGAACTTTGGCATCGTTCGGACTGGCGAATACTCATGAGGAAATGTGCGCTCTTGGGTATGGTCGAAGAGACTATAGATGTTCTCGTTTCTTCGTCGTCGACGGTGAATCCTATTCCATGGACGGTGCACGACGATGCGAGGCGTGGAAGAAAGGCCCGTGTTTCTTTGCCTCCACCCCTACTAAAAGGGAAGCCCTAGCAGTGTGAAAAGGTTTATAGCTATGGCTTCGAAGATGCTGAGGCGCTTCTCCTCGAGCGTGGCGAACTTCAATCAGGGGCGGACAGTTTTCACCAGGGAAAACGAGCTCGCGGCGCTGAATGGGCGCCTTGTAGCCGCTGTAGATGACTCGGTTTCGGGAGGCAACTTAGTTGTGGTGAGTGGACCGAAGGATTCGGGGAAGAGTGCCCTCCTGAGGGAATTCCGGCGGAGGCAAGGTGAGGGTGAGTATCCCGGAGTGTCCTCCTTCGCTGACATGCGCGGCTCGATTTCTCCGAGGGGCGTTGCCGGAATGTTCAAGTCCAGCTTTTTACCTTCCATAAGGGCCTCTCAGGTGGAAAGCTGGAGTGTTCTTAAGGACCAGATGGACAAGGCAGACGACATGGACACCGTCCTTGCAGCTATCATGTCCTACGGTGTCTCTTGTAATAGCCTGGTTCTGAAAGGTGGCGGGGACTATGCTAAGGTCTATCCGACGATCGTTCTGGATGAGGCCAACTTGTTGTGCACTTGGACCACAGATCCAGCGACCGAGAAAGAGCTCGACCAGCTGCTCGCCTTCTTTGTGATGGTGACGAAGCAGGAGCACATCATGAATGTGGTGCTGGCATCCTCGGAGAACTTCTTTGGGACTTGGCTTGCGGGCTACATAGGCAGCCTCCGAGCGGACACTTTACACGTAGGCGATTTGCGTGAAGCGGAAGCTCGCCAGTTCTTTGAGACGCTCCTACCGACGGGTTCTGATGGAGTGTCCGACGAGCTGTGGAAGGACATATACAGCCATATGGGTGGACGGATGGGCTTACTAGCCAGAGCTGCTAGGAGCATTGAGTCATGGGACGCTGTCAAGGCCTCGCTTCTCTCAAGCTGCTGTTTGCAGGTCCGGGTTGCTTGCTTTCCAGAGGCCCTCCCTGCCAACAAGCCTAGCAAGCCGTGCTGGACCAAGGACGATTGGAAGGCCGTAGTGTCCACCTTGGTGAAACACAAGGATGGTATTACGCCCTACATGGCGCTCTGCAACAAGCTTTCCGTGGGCAAGGTGAACAGTCTCATCGAGTATGACCTCCTGCAGTATAGGACACTTGCAGCTTGGGGTAACGACATTGAGGGTATCCCAGAGAAGGACTGGCCCCTTGTCATGCCATCGACGTCGCTTCACTTTCGAGCTATGCAGCGGCTGGCCAAAACTTTGTAGAATCATCACGGAACGAGATATGCGAGGGCGATTTCAATTTGGTCATAGACTTGATTTTCATATTCCGTTGACTTTCGTCAACTTTGATTCATAGAGGAAAATAGTGGTTAGAACTTATTTTCGTATTTGCGTCCATGGATGAAGAGAGTGCTCAAGCAATGCCTCAAGTCCACTGCCACTTCCAAGCACTCCATCGTGGAGAGCTACGCATCGAGATTGAGGCAGTGTGGCATCGCAAGAGACGTGAGAGAGGGGAGGAGGATTCACCGTGAGCTCCTCGACTCACAAGGCGATCCATCCACCACCAACACGTACCTCGCGAACCATCTCGTCCAAATGTATGCCCAGTGTGGGCATTTGCAGGAATCCCGGGAAGCTTTTGACGAGATCCACGCAAAGAACGTCTTCTCGTGGAATGTGATGATCTATGGCAGCGTGGAAAACGGCGACATCCGGCAGGCCAGGGCGCTGTTCGAGGCAATGGATCGCAGGAACGTCGTGTCGTGGACGACGATGGTGAGCGCTTATGCCCGAAAGGAGGGCGATTCCCGCCTCGCGCAATTGTTCTTCGAGAGAATGCCGCAGTGGAGTGTCGTTCCGTGGAACGCCATGCTCGGATCGCTCGTCCACGATGGCGAGTTGGGCCTCGCTCGCAGCTTCTTTGAGATCGCGCCCGAGAGAGACGTAATCGCCTGGAACACGATGATTACGGCCTACTCCCATGAGCGGGAGCTCCAGTTCGCGAGCTTTCTCTTCGACAGGATGCCGCAGAGAGATTTGGTGTCGTGGAGCACCATTACTGCTGCTTACGCACATCTTGGAAGATTAGTTGACGCAAAGAAAATATTCGATTTAACGCCGCAACAGTGTGTTTTATCGTGGAATACAATAGTCGCAGCATTTTCCTCAAATGGGCATTTGGATTATGCAAGATTTATGTTTGACCGGATGCCACATCGCAATGTAATCTCTTGGAACGCAATCTTGGGTGCGTATGCTAGCGCTGGATTTGTAGAGATGACTGATAATATCTTCCAGTCCATGGACGAGAGAGATTCCGTGTCATGGAACTCTCTGATATCCGGATATTCTCACTGGGGTCACGGTTGTATGGCCAGAGAAACGTTTCGTGCGATGGTTTTGAATGGTTTCTCTCCGGACAGTGTGACGCTTCTCGCAATCCTCTCAGCTTGCAGCGTCGATGGAAGGCTTCAGGACTCTTGGAACTGCTACACATATGCAACGCAGGACTTTGGCATTGTTCAGACTGGCGAACACTTGTTTTGCGTGGTGGATCTCATGGGAAAATGCGGCCTCTTGAGTATGGTGGAAGAAACTACTGATTTTCTGGTTTCTTCGTCATCGACTGTGAATCCTATTCCATGGACTGTCATGTTGGGCGCATCCAAAATGCACGACGATGCAAGGCGTGGGAGAATGGCCGTGGAGAAGCTCATGGAGCTGGAGCCGGAAAACTTCTCCTCTTATGTGCTTTTATTTTGAGGAATGGTTTGGCCAACTTTCTCTCAACAGTTTACCTTAAGCTAGCCATCTGTGTATTTCATCTATAAATCCACACACAAATTGGAAAGAGTTCGTTCCCATGTAAGTGGTGAATTCTATCTTGATTGCGTTTCACATTTGGTCATGATAAATATAATGTTGTGCCCTAGGGCACGAACGAGAAAACAACTGTTAAGCATGGGAGAGCAAGGAGAAGCACGAGAAGGCTTGATGCTGGGTGAGTGCCCTCTTTCCTTCCCCCCCGATTGCCCTCTTTTTCTCCCTTCATGGCTGCGATTTTTTGTTGTGAGGCATGAAATGAGAGCGTCATCGTTACTCCACGTCAAGTCATGATCGATGAGCGCACAACAAGAGCTGTTGAGCAGAAGCTTGTTTGCCTTGCTCACAGGCGAGGAGGAAAATCAAGAGCTCTATGTAAAGAACTGACTCCCCGAGATGTCGTAGGCTAAAGGATCCCCAAAAAGCTTGACCGAAATGACAAAGAGTTCATCGGATGGGACCAAGTCGAGGATCGAGTCCAAGACCGACTCTAGGACCGAGTTCGAGATAGAGTCCGGAATCGAGTCCGAGACCGACTCGGGGACCGAGTTCGAGTCCAAGTTCGAGACCGAGTTTGAGACGGAGTCCGAGATCCGAAATCGGGTCCGAGACCGAGTCCGAGGTCGAGTCTGAGGTCGGGTCCGAGATCGGGTCTGAGATCGAGTCCGAGATCGAGTCCGAGACCGAATCCGAAGTCGGATCCGAAATCGGGTCCGAGGTCGAGCCAAAGACTAAGTCCAAATACTAATACGGGTCAAGGGGTGAAAGCCCAAAGCGTGCATCTCCCCGGGGGGGGGGGCTGCAGGGGGTTCCAAAAGTATAGTAGGGATAGTGAGGTCCAGAAACCAGTCTTGAAGGAACTCTCCAGTGGTGCTTCCAAACTGACTTGAGGTTGAGATTGGGGCCAAGGGGCCTTGGGTGGGAGTGAGCATGGGCCTGAGTGGTGCTGGAGGGGCCACCCAGGGAAGTGCTCAAGAGCAGCTCCCACTCCCGAAAGGGAAACCGACTGCGGTGCTCCCGGCTCAGGTGGAGTGGTGCCCCACTTGAGTACCTTGTGGCTCATTGGTCCTCGCCCTTCCTAGGGGCTTGGGCCTTCCCTTCGGGATGGAAGTGGGGGGGTAGAGGTACCCATACCGGGCCGTTAGGCCACGGTGTTTCGCCCCGACATCCCGAACCAAGTGCTGCACCCAAGGCTTGGGATTTAGAGGGTCCCATGATCAAGTCTTGTGGTACCTTGGGGTGTTAGGAATCTGGAGGCTTGGTGTGCTTGGCTGCTTGTGCCTGCGGGGAGTGTAGCCGAACCTTAAGTCCAGTCTAACCCGGGGAGGGGGATTGGGAGAGATTTGGGAATCCGTAGATGGATGGCTAACACTCTGTTGCTCGTGCAGTGAGTAGCTAAAACTAAGTAGGACCAAGTAGGAGCTGGTACCATAGGCGAGAACCTTGGCGAGGGAACTTAGCACAAGCCAAGGTAGAGTTGGTCGGATAGTCGAGGTAAGCTGGCAAATTGGAAAGGAAAAATTTGTGGCTTACAATTTGGTATCGGAGCCTCTTCCTCAGTTCTAGCGAAGGATAGAGGCGGATTGCTGGGAGATGGCAAGGGCAGGACGTAAGCGAACCCAGGCGGAGACGGAACCTCCTCCAGAGCTGGAGCCTCCGGTCGAACAGGAGGCTATGGATGAGGAATCCTTGCATGAGGAGGACTCCAGTGAGGCAACTTCCAAATAGGAGTCCGGTGGTGAGGTTCGGTCGTCCAAGGCTCGATTGGACGTTCTAGAAGGACAATTGGCACAGACCAATGCCCTGCTAGAGACTCTCGTACGCAAGCTAAAGCGTGATGAGAAGCGGAAGAAAAAGCGAAAGACTGCGGATGCTGGCAGCGCAGAAGGTGCGGACCCTTCGGCAGGGACTGAGGCAAAACCAGACAAGGTCGAACAGACCGAAGTGGAATCAGTCCCTCAGGCAGTTCCCAAGTACAAACCGAAGCCCCCACCGGTCTTCAAGGGAGTGAACGACTATAAGGTGGTGGAGGATTGGTTCTACGATATGGAGGACTACTTCTGAGCGTTGCGATTACCGAGCTCGGAGAAGGTCCCATGTGCAAAACCATACTTGGCAGATAATGCCAAGTCTTGGTGGAGAACAACGGAGGCCAACGAAGGACCGGTGGCCACTTGGGAAATGATGAAGGCGAGGATCCGCGCAACTTACATTCCTCCGAATGCTACTCTGCACCTAAGGGATGAGCTGAGTAGGCTGAAGCAGACCGGAATCATTCAGGAGTATGTGAATGGGTTTATGGCAAAGAGGATACTTGTCACAGACATGGGGGATATGGATGCGTTCCATGCCTTCATATCAGGTTTGCAAACCTGGGCTCGCGGCGAAGTAATGCGGTGGAACCCGACCAACTACAAGGAAGCGTTGGATGCGGCCATCAAGGTGCATTTCAACGATAACTTGCGAAAGGGGAACACGACGGGGTCGGGATCCACGTTTAGCAAAGGGGCCAAACCAAGGGGAACGTTTAGCAGAGGGAAATTCAAGAGGAGTTTCTCTAAGAATGAGTCCTCGAGGTTCCGGAAAGGCAAACCCGGTGGCCAGCGAGCGAGTAAGTGGGGGAGTCAAGCGAAAAGAGACAAACCCACAGATAAGAAGGTCAAGTCATATAGCAGCGTGGGAAACAACGTATGCTACAACAACTGCGGTGAAGCGGGACACTTCTCGAGGGAATGTCCCTACCCGAAGAAGGCCAGAGCCAATATGGCCATCAAGTCGGGTGAAGTCCAAACGGAAGTATGTGATCCAGTCCCTAACTCAAAGTTACTCATTACACGAGCAACTTTGGTAGAGAGTCGTTCGCGACATCTACTAGCCCTCCGAGGGAAGCTCGGAGGTAGCTTTGTTAAAATCCTTATTGACACGGGTGCTTCGGATAATTTTGTGGCTGCAAACATAGTCCGGCAAGCCGGACTAACAGTGCAGTGGCTAGGCGAACCAAGGACTATAGAGTTTGTTCAAGGTAGCCAAAGCACCGATGAGGTACTTCGACAAGCGAGAGTCGAAGTGGGGACTTGGAAGGTGGACATGGATTTCACTGTGTTGGACATGGCGGGATTTGACGTGATCTTCGGAATGGACTAGTTCAATCGATTTGTGGTAGCCCTGCATGGACAAGGTAGAAACCTTGTGGTACTGGCGAATGCCCAAGGAAGAAGATCTAGGGTGGAGGCCCAAGATCTAAAGGTAGGGCAAAGCAAGGCCAAAGATTCCTGCTTAAACCTGGTGTCCACGAGAGGACAACTCACTAAAGGAACTAAGGCGGCCTTTTTGTGCTTACTCTCGGTGAAGAGTGACAAAAAGACAGGAATGGAAGAAGTACCTTTAGTGATCCAGCGGGTGTTGGACCAATTCCAGGATACCATGCCGGAGGAGCTATCGGTGGGGCTACCCCCAGCACGACCGATAGAACATAAGATTGAGCTGGTCGAGGGTGCTGAGGTAGTGGTTCGTCCCCCTTATCGTTTGAACGAAAAAGAACTCAAGGAGCTCAAGTGCCAACTAGAGGAGTTGGTGGACAAAGGGTATGTTAGGTTGAGCAAGTCGCCGTATGGGGCACCGGTGTTATTTGTGAAAAAGAAAGATGGATCTATGCGCATGTGCATAGACTACCGGTTGCTCAACAAATATACAAAGAAGAACAAGTACCCTTTGCCAAGGATTGAGGACCTGTTCGATAGGTTGGGAAAGGCAAAATACTTCTCGAGGATTGACTTAAGGTCAGGATACTACCAGATCAGGGTAGCCGAGGAAGATGTCGAGAAGACAACCTGTCGAATGAGGTATGGGAGCTTTGAGTTTCTGGTGTGCCCTTCGGGCTATGTAATGCGCCGGCAACGTTTTCGGCGCTAATGAACCACATCTTTGTACCCTATCTGGATCACTTCGTGGTCGTCTATATCGACGATATCCTGATCTATAGCGAGACGCTAAAGGAGCATGCCGAACACTTGGTGAAGGTGTTTGAGAAACTAAGGGAACACAAACTGTATGCTAAAGAGAGCAAATGTGACTTTGCTCAACAAGAGGTAAAGTTTCTCGGGCATGTGGTGGGCCAGGACGGGCTCAAGGTGGACCCAGAGAAGGTCCAAGTGATCCAGGAATGGGAGCGACCAGCCAATGTACACGAGTTGAGGGCATTCCTGGGGCTATGCAACTACTATCGAAAGTTTATCAGACACTATTCGAGAGTAGCCCTGCCCTTAACGGACCAAACAAGAAAAGGGAAGATGGTGTGGACAGCGGAATGCGAGGCGGCATTCGTCCACCTCAAAGGGAAGTTGAGGAAGGCTCCCGTATTGGCATTACCAGACTTTGGTAAGGACTTTAAGGTAGAAACGGATGCTTCGGACTTTGTGTTAGGCGCAGTTTTGAAGCAAGACAACCATCCGGTAGCGTTCTTCTCGAAGAAGCTGGACAAGGCTCAACGGAAGTGGCCTGCCCACGAGAAGGAATTGTTTGCGGTGGTCAAGGCGCTCAAGGAGTGGCGACACTACCTTGGGAGACACTTCAAGGTTTACACGGACAATGTGGCAACGAAGCACTTCTTGTCACAGCCCGACCTAAGAGGGAAACAAGGTCGGTGGACCAATGCCTTGGCCGAGTTTGATTGCGAAATTCTGTACAAGCCTGGGAAGAGCAACATTATGGCGGATGCGCTAAGTCGAAAAGCGAGCTTGAGGTTGGCAATATCCAGCGCAACAGCAACCTTCTGGGACGATGTGCGGACAGCATATGAGAACGATGGTCTAGCACAGGAAGTGTTGCTGAGGAATCTAGAGGCGCGGGAAGCTCACCAGAGAGGTGAGCTGCCAACGGAAGAGAAAACGGGCTATGCAGAACGCAACGGACTCATTTATTACAAGCAAACGAGGGTGTAT